AGGAGGCACTCCAAGGCCTTACAGGGAAACACAAACTCTGTGGGAGGGACTCCCACAGAGCTGACAAGATGACCGTTGCCATGGCAACACGGCGAAGCAAGGGCAACCGTTTACAGACATTTCTGCAGGGATGCTGCAGGACAGAGGGCAGAAGCAGGTGTTTTCTGCTGGCCGTGGCTCAGCAGGGCAGGGCCTCTGTCCCAGGCTCTCCTCAGGATCTGCCTTTACTCTGGAAACCTGATCCTCATGTCCCGGTCCATCAGTAAAACCTCTCTGAGAACTTTAGAGAGCCATTGGGGAGAGATAGAGTCCCATAGGGCGCATATGCCCACTAATGTCTTATTCTCCTCTCTACATCCTTGTACCAGGCTTTCAGAGTACTTCCTGTCTTTAAGGGCTGCATAAAGAAATAGACGTTCTATTATGAAAATATTATCGTTAATTACAGGAGCTCTAAAGTAGCTGATCGATACAAATAAATATGATCTAAAATGCTTTAACTCATTGATGTTTCAAGTCTAAGGTGATCTAATACATTTTAATGTAAGTTTCCCTCGGTGTAATATTTTATTGCTTGTCTTATGCACATTTTTTAAGTAAATCAGGTAGACCTGTGATGTTGGCTGGTTTGTGCCAGAAGCAGTTTATCTTTCAGAGCTAAATAGAATTGTTGGACACACTTATCTGCTGGAAGACTACAGACTTTTAGCATCACACTGTTTCCTCTGAATTCCTCCCTGAAGCTCTGTCTGTCTTTTGACATCCACAGTTAAAACACCAGCGTCCTCCACCCACCTCCTCCATCCGCATTTGAGCTCTCACTCTTCTCAGCTCCTCCTCTGCTTGGCCCCGCTCTGCTACACAGGCTGCTTTAGCTTTACTCAGCTCCTAAAGCACAAGACATCAGCAGCAGGGATGAGGTCACAGAACCGGAGACGGCAAACAGACACTGAACAATAAATCACACACCGGGGATGAGCAGGAGAACATGGAAAAAACAGACTCATATTATGTTATTATGTAAAACATCCATCAACAGCAGTTTTAGGAACCTGACAAGTATTTAGGTGTGTGTGTGTGTGTGTGTGTGAGAGAGAGAACAGTGTCTTTTTGCAGTGAGCGTATATCCAGACTTCACAGGGAGACAAACTTGATAGGGTGGCAGTCGCTGACCCGACAGATAAGTTGTGACAGAATAAAAATGCTTCAAAAGGTTTTGAGAGACTTAAAAGATAAAGAATAAAATTACACCCAAGACTTGTGGACATCGATAAAAACAGCAATAAAGCACAGAGTGTGATCCAGGAAAAGAGGAAGAAACTAAAGCTATCTGAAGCAGGTCTGAAGGAGGGAAGAGCCCTGCCCTCCTCAGGCTTCTGGATCAGAGTCTGGGGAAGTCTCCAGAATGAGCAGCATGAGGAAGGCCTTCTCATATGAAGGACTCTTTAGCTTATTAACCTGCTAAATAACACTAGCTACACTTTTAAACCTGTGAAGGCTGTCCTGGTAATTCTTTCGGTTTTTCTACCAGTGGACTAACACCGTGTTGTCCGGCTGGTTATGGTGTGGCTCTGACCTCCTCCAGCTGGATCCGCTGTCCCTCCAGTTTGAAGATGCGATCCTGAAGAACTTTTTCACTCTCTTCTAGATGGCGATTGACATGGTCCACCTAAAAAAGAATGCAACCTTTTAGCACTCTATATTGCCAAAAGTTTGGCATTCATCAAAAAGACTGAAACTTTATGTAAAAAAGGGAAAAACAGACTCTCCAAAGACAACCGAACTCACTTCATAGGGACTTCCTGTTTTATTTTGTCAGACTTCCCCTGTTTTTGTGCTGTCGTGTCCCCCCCCCCCCCCCACTCTTTTTTTACTCTTTAGCTTTTCCAGTGTTGAGCCATTCTATTGCATGTGTGCAGGTTGGTGCGTTTTGCCCTCTTCCCGCAACAAGCGATTGTTTTTCTGACAGTTTTCAGTCTGTTCAGTCCTCT